GCCTATGAAAAAGGTACTAGGGGCATCTCATGGGGCCCCCTACTGACCTCGGGCAGTGCCTGAGTTTCCAAATGATCAGTTCGCCCCTGGTCTAATCCCTGCTGCTGCCTGTGTACTCCCCTGGACATTGCCTAAAGGGGTAGCAGTTGGGGAGGGCAGTTAAAGCTTGGCTCAATCTCAGGGTTTTACCACCCCTCCAAGTGCTAGACTGATCTACCAATTAAAGTGGTTCTAAAGGCTCAAGGTTTTTTTACCTTCATGCATTCTATGCATGAAGGTAAAAATGTTCTGTGTGTAGCAGCCCCCTCTAACACTTACCTGAGCCTCATCGCAATCTAGCGATGTGCATGAGAGCTTAGGTTCTCTGGGGACTCTCACTCCTGATTGGCTGAGACAGCAGTGGAAGCCATTGGCTCCCACTGCTGTCAATCACAGCCAGTGAGCCAAACAGGAGAGGGAGGGGCATCGCTGAGCCACGGCTCTATGTGTGAATGCACACGCAAAGCCGTGGCTTGGGAACGCGCCTTCTTGGGTGCCCCCATAGCAAGCTGCTTGCTATGGGGGCACCCGATAGGAGAGAGGACTCAAGAAGAGGAGGATCTGGGCTGCTTCATGCAAAACCCCTACACAGAGCAGGTAAGTATAACATGTTTGTTAATTAGAAAAAAATATTTTAGTATCGCTTTAAAGTGGACCTTCACCCTCTCCACTCGCTTTTCATCATTGCACTCCTACCCCCTCCTCTTCCACATTCAGACATTTATTTTCATCTCATTTTTAATGTTTTCACCAAATACTGTTTTTTGCAACTCCTCCTGGCACTTTCAGGATTGTACCTAGGTATGACTGATATCATAGTAACCTGTAGCCTCCTGGGATAGTTTTTTCATATATTCCAGGAGGCTTTGAGGTTGTCTAAAGCACATAAGCTGCTGTGTGCCATTAGGGGGTCGGCTGTCTCTTCCTGCAGCTGGTCCCCTGATGATGCAACGTGGCGCATATGCATGATCAGAGGCTGGCTGCAGAACAGCGGAGATAGCAGCCCAGGAACTGGGGTGTGGTGGCAAATCAGCGCATTGCAGCAGGAGAAACCTGGAATCGCTGGACTATGTATTTTGGGAATAACCCAGACATCCAGGTAAGAGGTAAAAACAAACATGGAGGGTGGAGGGGTGGATGTGAAGTTCTTCTTTAAGGTAGCAGATAGATAGATAGATAGATAATTATAGGAGATGACTAGCATAAGACCAGCCTCAGAATGATGCCTGATAAATGCTTTTCATACTGAGTTTCACTTACAGATCCAGAATAACTACAACTCTTGGATGTTCTAGGGATAATATCACCCCATTATTGTTCCTGGCTGTTCCTATCTTGGCCTGTTTCTACTTGTTACATTTTTCATACTATAAAAAAAAAAAAAGTAAAACCCCACAGGGAGCTCAGGACCCCGACTTAATGCCTGTGATAGGTATTTAGAACTGGGAACTGCTAGTTAGGTACCGTAAGTAATGTCAGACAGGCGGTCTCATGCAGTAATATCTCATAACAGAAAACTGCTGGTCCATTACCCCCATAATGCAAGGCCAACATAGAAAATAGTCACTGTCCCATCTGTCATATGAGTGTAAGTTACTGTGATCAGCTGCAGAAAAGTATACGTTAAAGATATTGGAAACTCATTACCTTTCCCTGTATTTACTAAACATGGGGCTGAGAAACTTTAATTTTCTTTTTTTGAGAAACAATGCAACCTAGCCACCAAATGTTTTTTCTAACAAAAATGTTCTAAGAAAGAAATCTGTTCCTAAACTTTTCCTTAAGCTTCATGCACACTGGCTTAAAAAACTGCCAGTGATCTTGCTAGAAAAAAAAACGCCAATTTTGAGCATTCTTTTGTACTAGTGTTTAGTGAGTTTTTTTGCCAGAAAAACACCCTCAAAATGCAAAACAGAAGTTTTTTTCTGCCTGTACATGCTGACCTTAAAAAACACCTCTAGATGACCTAATGTGCATGAACATATAAGATAACAGTTGCTTCTACAGGCAAAATGCTAAACTCCTCGTGGAGCAGTGTTTTTAAGCCAATGCACATGGAGCCCTAAAGTGTTACTAAACCCACAACAGTAAAATGCAATCTGGTTTCAGTGTGTAGCCCTGTTTTGGTGGGGGTTATGTGAAATGGCCCACACCAAACAAGCTATGGCGCTAACCTGTATATGAGTAGGCAATCCTGAGCCTTCGCTATATGGAAGAAGGGGGTTGTGATAATACAAATGGCAGTGCCTCCACCTAGAATAGGGATCCTGCAATTGAGGAGACTCACCCCTTTCTAGGAATGTAACAGGTAGACAACTTAAAGTAACTATACATAGCAGTATTAATGCACCCAGCTTATATTTCTAACATGATAAACATGTCACCACACCTGTATGAGATTAATGCAAAGTTTATATAAAGCAGCCACATAAAACAGGATGCATAAGAATAACATTCAGGAATTACAATTTAGCATAAATTGGGAGGTTGCAATTATACCCGGGTATATGTGCATGTAGTATACAGAATACCTCCAACCATGGGTTATAGCGCTGTCCGGTTGCAGGGGCCCCTGGAGAGGTGAGAGTCAATAAGATGCACGCTTCCACTTTAGATGCTGTGATGGCGTCCAAGTAACATGCGGATGATTGCACTGCTTGTCTGAAGATCAGCGATGCATCACCTAAAAGGATAAAATGCCCTATCTGGCCTTACTCTTAGTCCCTATCCCTAAACTGGGCTGTCACTGCAACCGGGCCTCTATCTGTCTAAGTGGCCGTCGGATGCCTAACCTACCTCTAGCCTAATCTTATCCAACACTCCCTATGCTAATCCTAGCTAAAGAGAGATCCAGACCAATAAGGCTATTTAAGCAAAGAGGCTGCAAAGATACACTGCAATTAACAGAAAGTTCACCTGACAGTCTTATGCAGGTGAAAACACTGATCTATATATATATTTTAGACAACTATAAGGATTCTGCAGTGTGTAAATAGAATAATGATAATGAACCACAAATCTCTCTTTTACAGAGTTATTAGGGTTCCTATACAGAAGTTGAAATATAACAGAGGCAGACCTAATCTGCTTCAGTAACAACTACATAGATAACAGCCTTGTTAATCTGGATCATTACTCACAGAATTCCCATACAGTTCTCCCCAGATACATAGCACATGGCAGGCTGGAACCCTCTGCCTGATACTTCCTGGAAAACAACTATATAACATCCTTGGGTTTCTTGACCTCTTTGTAGGGGCAGGAAGCACACCCAGGGACTTGTCTGTAATGGGACCTCTATGGTTGTGGCTGTATATGGATGTAAACAAACCACAACTAGTGTATAAAATAACAGTTCCCTACAAGTGCATTCCCAAAATTGCTACAGGCACAACTTTGGTGATGATGCAGTGCAAATTGAGCCATTCAAAATGAATTGCTCAAATCACATTGCACTGAATTGCATGTGAATTGCACAGGGATGTGGTGAGGTTCCTGCACAATTTATGTGGTTCATAGTTTGAGCCAAGGTTCTCTCTTTAAAGTGTTACTAAACCCCCAACAGGAAAATCAGCCTATATATACAATAAAGCATGCTTGCTATACTCACTGTAGAACCTAAGGGGTTAATTCTCTGCATTGTGTAAAATGGCCGTTTGATCCTGACCCTTGTTTAAGCAACCACCTATTATCGCCTGATAAGACAGACTGAACTGTAGGCATTCTGCACATGCCAAGTTTGGAGTGTATTGCTAGGGAGGTTTTTTTTTTTTTGGGAGAGTGCATGTGATCAGCACAGGGCCAATCAGCACTGCCCAGACAGAGGTCAGGGGTTTTGCATCCTCCTGGAGAAGAAAGAAAACTCCTCCTACAAGGTTTAACCTGTGCTCTGCTGAACCCTGATAGAAGGCACAGGATTGCTCTAACTTCTGATGAGAAAAGGTATTTAGCAGTTTATATTTAGTAAAATAATTGCATTTTCTGTGTACTGTGGGAGACCAGATATAGTGAATGCAGGGTCCGGGGAGACCAGATATAGTGAATGCAGGGTCCTGGGTTTAGTAACACTTTAAATTTGCATGCGGAGACACTGCTTCCCTGAAGAATGGTTGGCCAGGGGAATAAGAATGGGTCAAGAAAAGCCCATAGATATACAATTTTTTTTCCAGTCTGACAGGTTGAATTGGGGAAAGGTCAGGATATTTGATCACTTCAAAGAAACACGCAGTCCAAGGAGATATTAATCAAATTCAAAGTCTGAATAATCCTGAGTGGATGTTTGAAATAAACAATTTCCCTGAGTTTTATGAAAAGTTCTTGCAGCCATACAGGCAGCAGCTATTACATGTCAGGAAGTATTTCAACACAATTGTGTGCCAATCTCATTATGTACATGGTACCATGCAATTGTAGCAGAGGGCTGTCAAAGGAACCTATCAAGTTAGAAATATGGAAGCTGCCAGTGCTGACCTGTTTTTTTTTTTATGTGCAAGCTCCATGGCTGTCATCTTTATCCTTCCTTTGTTACGTAGTGATTACACAGCCTGGCTGTCTTGGGAACAAGCAAACATCAAATGAAAGTTGGAGAAAAGTCACAATTCCTTATGCTCAATGACAATGAAAATACTAAAGCCAAAAAAACCAGCATGACAACCAGGCAACCACCATTTTCCTTAACCACTCGTCTACCAGGCACTTATACCCCCTTCCTGCCCAGGCCAATTTTCAGCTTTCAGCGCTGTCACACTTTGAATGACAGTTGCGCGGTCATGAAACACTGTACCCATATGAAATTTTTATCATTTTTTTGAGACAGATAGAGCTGTCTTTTGGTGGTATTTAATCACCTCTGGGTTTTTAATGTTTTGCTAAACAAACCAAAAACAACTGAAATTTAAAAAAAAACATTTTTTTCTTAGTTTTTGTTATAAAATTTGGTAAATAAGTGATGTTTCTCCTTCACAGATGTGCGTTAATGAGGCTGCAGTGATGGGCACTGATAGGCTGCACTGATAGGTGGCACTGATGGGCACTGATGAGGAGGCACTGGTAGGTGGCACTGATGGGCATTGACAGGCATCACTGATGGGCACTGAAAGGCAGCACTCATATATGGCACTGATAGGTGGCACTGACTGGCACTGAATGGAACTGACTGGCACTGTTAAGTGGCACTGACTGGCACTGTTAGGCAGCACTGATAGGTGGAACTGACTGGCACTGATAGGCAGCTCAGATGGGCACTGATATGTGGCATTGATGAGGCACTGATGGGCACTGGCAGATCGCATTGATGGACACTGACAGGTGGCACTGCTGGGGCTACACTGATCATCGGGGCACACGTGTCCCCTCCGAGGAATGCCAATTACAGCTCTCCTCTCCTCACGAGCTGTTAGCATGACAGCTCGTGAGGAGAGAAATGCTGATAACCGGCATTTCCCTATTTACATACGATCAGCTGTGATTGGACACAGCTGATCACATGACCGAGCTGACATCTTCGGTTCTTTCCGCTGATCAGTGATCTGCTGTGTCCGAGGAACACAGAGCACCACTTATCGCCGCGCTGCACGCTCCCAGAGCCACGCATGTGCGGTTAGAGTTGTAGGACATCATATGAGGTCATCCCAGAACTAGAGAAACCGCTTTGCACCCGTCATTACCTTATATGGCAGGCGCGAGGCGGTAAAGGATAAGTTCACCTTTTGTAACATGTTACACCCATATTCAGGGGGTAACATGTTTTGATCAGAGCGGCCCCAGCACTGCCTGCCTGGCCGCATCACTCATTCACAGTATTCTCTGAATGAGAAAACTACAAGTTTTGAAATCCTTTGCGGCCGGCTTTTATTTGTCAATGAACTACCACAGTGCTCCTCAGGGCCATGGTAGTTCATTGAGCCTTCCTGTCAGTAAGTATCTGCTTGCCCATATGGGAAGTACAAGCATGCAGATATACTGACAGGTCAGGGGGAGACCTGCATAGCACCAGCAATCTTCTGATTGCTGGTGCAATGCCTTAGAGGCTCCGGAAAAAAAAATAATTAATGCACATTTTTTTACCTGCAAAAAAATGTGCATTTATTATTTTTTATTAAAAGGTGAACTTATCCTTTAAGGCCTCATTTAGATTAGTGCTGAAGGGGGAGGAGTTAAAAATGCGTAGTTGAGCTGTGTTTTTTACGTCTCCAAACACCCCCTTTAACTTTAGCTGCCAGGTCCACGTCATATGGACCTGACAGAGGGGGGTTTTACACATCCTTCTGGTGGCTGTAGCAGTATGTACATCTGACAAGCAGACTCCTGGCTTTTAGATGGAAGCATTATAGTGGCTGCGCTACCGCCTGTTTGCTTCCACTCCCCCCGGTAACAGCACCCGCCGGCATGCACGCGTCCCCGCCATGTTTCCCAGGCTCGGGAACAGCATAGGGGTTGCGGACCCAGAAGCAATGTGTAAAACATCATTTTGTGTGTCCTAAAATGAACTGATTTTTTACTGAAATGTTCTCGCAATATTGCATGACATAAAAAATGCACCTACCACTATTTTATTCTCTAGGTGGGGGTTTATGCAATCTTCAGACCTAAAATTATTTTTTTTTTAACATGTGGGCAAAAAAGGCTCTGGCAGCGGAAAGGTTAAGCTGCAATGGCAGTGAATGGGGTGTGCATATGTCGCAGTTGCAATGCTTCACACCTGCGGTGAAAATGATCTGACATGCTACGAGCAACGGGTTGCAAACCTGCTGAGCGCAAGACCTATTCAAGCAAATTCAGAAGCGCTGCTAATGCCTGGCAATACCGACCAATGCATGCGCTTGCAGTGAGTTTTTCAGCAAAAATGGGGTTAACACTGATGGTGAGGATACACCACATGGCCTTCTCACTCCCTGTCAATCACCTCTGAAAAGTGGTCCAAATACAGATTGCTTTTTGGAGGAGCAGCAGTTTAGACACATATCTAAGCCTAGCCTAAGGAAAATTCAACAACAGCAACCCCCCCATGTTTACTTACCGACAGCTATACTTTAAAGTGACCCTTTCCTTGCAGCTGCAGGGTCAAAATTAAAAAAAAAAAAAAATCACAGTCCCTCCCTCCCACCCCAACCACACATCTTGCTCCACAGCAACTAATACTAACCTTCCCCAGTGCTGGTGTCAGCCTACTATGGACCCAGGCTAACATGACACAACCAGGAAAGGAAGATCATGGTAAAGCAGGCCCTATGTTAAGCAATGTTCTTTCTGTCAACCAGGGTTAAAGGAAGGAAAATTGCTCGATTCACCCATGAACACAGTCAGTGTCGATGGGAGTATCCTTCCTGCAGGGCTATTGAGTTCTGCCAGCAGGGAGTGCTAGGAGCCTTCTTTGCCAGCAGAACACAATGATTAGTATTGCAGGAACTAATTGTTCAGGAAAAACCTGACAAGCTGGTTGTACACAAGTTGATCGACTTATGTACAACCAGGGTGCCCATTTATGCATCGAAATTCAGCCAGTCCCTGCTGAACCAGCCAAATTTAATTCCATGTATGGCTGGCTTTAGTATGGATAACAATTTCCTATATTCCTGGTACTCATCATGCCATCATAGGTCCATAGTAGGCTGATATAATTAGCAACCAGGAAAAAAAAAATGACGGTAAGTATGGATAACAATTTTACATATTTCCCTCTCCCCTGCAATTCAGCTGCCAAGACTAGAGAAATAATATCTGTGAGGGCTCCATATGACAAGGCTATGGACCCCAGCACCACCCCCCATGTGACAGTGCTGGGCCAATCATGAAGCACCAGATGTGGGAAGGGGTATTGTATGCTCATCCATACCTGAAAATGCCAGGAAAAAGGAAAGATGGTGGGGATTTGTCTCTGTATAAGCAAAGGACTGGACACATTGGGGATCATTTACTAAATCCGGAGAATGCAAAATCTAGTGCAACTCTATAGAAACCAATCAGCTTCCAGGTTTTATTGCCAAAGCTTAATTGAACAAGCGCTGCCCCAGATTCTGAGTGCTACAGTTTTAGTAAATCTTCATTAGAAGGCAAATTTTTCTCAATTAACCACTTGCCCTCCTGAGGATTTACCCCCCCTTCATGACCAGGCCGTTTTTTTGCGTTACGCGGTGCATCACTTTAACTGACAATTGCACGGTCATGCAGCGCTGCACCCAGATTAAATTTACGTCCTTTTTTTCCCACGAATTGAGCTTTCTTTCGGTGGTATTTGATCGCCTGTGCGTTATTTGTTGTGCTATAAGCAAAAAAAAGACCAACAATTTTGAGAAAAAAAAACAATATTTCGGACTTTTTGCTATTAAACTTGTCTTTTTTCTTTCTACTAGTAATGGTGGTGATCAGGGACTTTTAGCAGGACTGCGGCAACATTGTGACACTGGGGGGGGGAACTAACTTGGTGTCAATGACATCTCCAGTGACACCAATACAGTGATCAGTGCTAAAAAAAGCACTGACACTGTACTAATGGCACTGGGCAGGAAGGGGTTAATGTGAGGGGCGATCACAGGGTTAACTGTGTGTTTTACTAGGGGGCGGAGGTGTGTTCTTCACTGTAAGCACACTGATCGGGATGGCTGTACTGTGCACAGCCATCCCAAGCAGTGTGCTTGAGCTGACAGGGAGGAAGATTGTTTGTAAACAAAACAATCTTCCTCCCCATCAGGGATGCTGTGTAATCTCCGTGCGTCGGCTGGTAATTACCGGCCGGGACCCAATGAATGACATCCGCGGCTGAGCGCGCCTCCTACCCAGAAATGTAAAATCACGTATATATGTGATTTTGCGCATAGGTGCCACCCTGTAGCAGTATATTTGCTATAGGGCGGTCCTTAAGTGGTTAATAAATTTCCTTTTATTTTGAATGTTCTATATAAGTATATGTTTCATCAATATACTGGGGTTTATTTACTGAAACTGGAGAGTGCAAAATCTGGTGCACTTCTGCATAGAAACCAGTCAGCTTCCAGGTTTCATTGCCAAAGCTTAACTGAACAAGCTGAAGTTAGAAGCTGATTGGCTACCATTCGCAGCTCCACCAGATTCTGGGTGCTCAAGTTTTAATAAATATCTATGATTAAAGTCAAAATGTACTCAATAAACCTTTTTTTTTTTATTTGAATTTTCTATATGAGTATATGTTGCATCAATGTATAGGGTTTTTTTTGCTAAAACTGGAGAGTGCAAAATCTGCTGCAACTCAGCATAGAAACCAATCAGATTTCAGGTTTTATTGCCAAAGCATAACTGAACAAGCTGAAGTTAGAAGCTGATTGGCTACCATGCGCAGCTGCACCACCATATTCTGGGTGCTCCAGTTTTAGTAAATCTCCATAAGGCTAGGTTCACATCTGTGCGGGTGGTGCCGTTACGGATCTGCACGAAAATCCGTACAGCCGCACCACCCGCACAGAGAAATGCGGCACACCACCCACACTGGAAAATGCAACCATACTGGGAACCAACTGCATTTTCGGAAGAAGTGCAGGGACTTCTTCCCTGTGTGTCATGGGGCATGAGAGTCCATTCAAATGAATAGGCTCTCATGCCCGCGCAAAACGCAGCCCGCACGGCTGCATATATGTGAACCAGGGCTTATTAGACAAATGTTCCTTTTATTTTGAATGTTCAATAAGCATATATGCTGCAAAATATATATGGTCTTAGCCACCTACAAGAACAGAAATGCTTAGGTTTAAAAGTAATCTTTAACTACCTGAGTTAGCCACTAAAATGATCACATTTCTATCTTCCAGTTACAGAAAAAATATAATTCAGTATTTCTCAACACAAAGGATTGCCATTTTTCTAATATAACGTTTAAATTAATTAAAATGAATTCAGATGTAAAAAAAAAAAAAAGGGGGGGGGGGGGGTACTGATATATTTGGAATGCAGTTGATAAGGCAGTGTTACAGGGTGGAAAGAGTCACATTCTAGAATCCCTTATACCAGTAAAGGACTCCGGCACCACGAATGACGGATGTCATTAACGAGCTAGCTGCCATGTCTGATCCTGAATGACAGGCTAATAGGGGTCCCCGGGGCATATATACACTCCAGCACATATCCTCCCTGCCATTCTTCTTAAAGCGTGGCCAAACCACCAGGGAACGAGTACCAGGAACTTACAAAGTCTGTAGAAAAACCCAGCACTGCTCTCCTGGACTTTTTCCCCAGGTCCCCTCCAATTTATTGAAGTCCCAGGGCCTGGCGGTACAGCCTTTGTAAAGAAGCCCTGTTTGATAATGGCTGTGCAATTGGTTCAATTAGGGAAAAAGGAGGAGAGAGGGGAGTTTTCGTAATGAAATTGTCTTGCAAAAGGAAAACTCTGCAAATTGGGGGATTATGTCAGCAGACCACCTGTAGGGCATTCTTAGTCTACAGCTTAGGCATTACTGCCTGCAGCCTGGCTAACAATGTAGGGAAGGCTAATAGGAGCAGCTCTCTCCTTCCCTCGCTCTCTCCTCTTTTCCCTCTGGTGTCCACTAACTGTTACAAGTAGAGCTAAAAATGAAATAAAAGATGCAAAAAAAAAAAAAAATCCCACGTCTTCAACTGAAAACCATTTAAGGCACTGCGGTGGTCAATTGGAGTTGGAAAAGAAAATAAAGGGGAACAGGGAGCTGGGAACAGACTTTAGACTATAGATCACGTATGGAGAATAGAAAAGATCAAAGAATGGGAGGCTGAAAGGGCCAAGTTCCCTACAGATTAACCCCATTCACTCAGCCCCTCTTTAAGGGGGGACTCGTGCTGTTCCACTAGACAGACAGGTAAAAAGTTCACCCTCTTGCAAAAAGCATATTGCAACTAATTCAGCACCCCTTCCACTCAATAAATGGAATGTGACTTGACAGACACATAATGCGCTCCATGCTGACAAAAGAAGCACGTTTTATAGGCACAAGTTAAGTATAAAAGGTTACTATGATGTTAACCTGTTAAATTAGTTCAGCAAATGGAACAAGATGACATCTATGCTGAAAAAAAGAATTTAACTGTATAGGCAGAATTAAAAGGGTTTTTTTTTTTTTTTTTTTTTTGGAAAATCAATATTACCCTCTAAACTCCACATGCAAAAACAAAAAAAGCATATTTTCCAAAATGATATACAGCAAAAGGACCTGCAATTGCCGGATCAATCAAATTGCAGTAGTTTATAGCAGTCAGAACTTCTGATTGGTAGCCAAAAGTTTCTACACAAACATTTCACATGGTTTTAGAAATTAGGATTATTGCCTCAGTAAATCTAAATAATTTATATTTGTTTAACAACAGTGCAATTTATACTGATGGGGGGTAATTTACTAAAGGCAAAAAAGACTGCACTTTGCTCCAGAGTGTAGTAAATGAGGTGAAGCTTCACTTTGCAGAAAATACCCAATCACATGCAAGGAAAAAAACAAAAACAAAAAAAAACCAAAAATTTTTCTTGCACGATCGGATGATGGAAGTTTGCAAAGCTTTACCACATTTGCTAAGCTCTGAAGCAACTGCATAGTCTATTTGCACATTATGGAGTTGATTTACTAAAGGCAAAGTGCTAGGGTTGGTTTGCTAAAGGCAAATATACTGTGCACTTTGCAGTGCAGTTGTTCCAGAGCTTAGTAAATGGAGGTGACGCTTTACTTTGCAAAAACAATATCCAAATCACATGCAAGCAAAAAAAAAAAAAAAAAAAAAAAAAAAAAAAAGAGAAAAGGAAAAACCCCAGCATTTTTCTTGCACATAATTGCATGAGGGAAGTCAGCAGAGCTTCCCCTCATTTACTAAACTCCGGAGCAAAGTGCACAGTCTATTTGCCTTTAGTAAATGAACCCTGAAGTCTAATTAATGCAACAAAAATAGGAACTTGTTTGCTTAAATTACTACCCTTTACCTTCAAAATAAGCCTCATTAACACATTCATGGCCACCTGACCTCTTCCTTTACTTTGTGCAATTTCTCATTACATAAACTATAAGCTTTAGAAGAAAAAAAATAAAATAAAAAAACCAGCAACTGTGAGTATAATTTATAAAAATTAATTTTATTGACAAAATAAAATAATCCATTAATTTTTGTTCTTATGAAGAATCCTCTAAACTTTATACATCTATTTACAAGATGTTATAACTTTGCATATGTACATATTTTACACATATTACAAATTGAAAGGAAAAAAATATTTATATAAATACATCTCTAGTGTAAAGAACCCGTATTTTTTTGGGGTGATTTGTTTTATATATTTATATATATATATATCTTAAGACAAGAGTTTAAGGCAGGAATAGGCAACTGATGGCACTCTAGCTGCAGAAAAACTAGAAGTCTCAGCATACCTTACTGACCAGAAGTTGACAAGACATGCTGAGACCTGTAGTGGCTCTGCAGCTAAATGCCCCCGTTCCGTTGTCCATACCTGGAAGGCATTTGCTTGGCTAATTAACAGATCCCATCCCCCTATTGTTGTCACCTGACCCTGGAGTGCCACAGGAAGGCATATTTCAGATTGTGGTAAGGTAGGGTGAACGGACACTGACGGGGGTCACTCCAGCAACTGTAGGAAAGAAATGTTGAGGACTGACATACAACATACATAAAACACATAATATTAAGATTGCTCCAACACGCAAATGCAGTTTTTGCCTCCAGTTGCGGAAGCACAGGGACAATCCCCTGCCTGGACCAGTTAATAGAAGGTCTTAGCAAAGCTCCTTGCATATAAATGGAGACAAATCAGGGAGGCTTCAATACCAGGTACATTGTTCTGACCAGTCATTCAAGTCCCTACTAATGGATACCATTAAGAGTTCATTATCATGCTAATAGCAAGAAACTAAAAGAATGGAAAGGGGCTTGCTTTTGGGTTAGGTTGGCAGATCTCAAACCCTCAAATGTCTCAGGTCCCTTCCCCCAGTCCCCTTTCTTTTTCCTGATTTGTTAGACCTGAGATAAGGGCATCTGTTTTGGGTAAGACACCGAACTGGCAGTGCCAGACCTCCATGTCAAGCCGGTGCTGACATCACTGTACATGGAGCCACCAGTTGCTTTGCTGCCCCAACAGCAGCGTGTGCAGAAAGCCCTCCAGGACTCCAAGGTCTTCCCTGACCAAATCCATACCCCGGAGGTGATGCCAACCACCAGGCACATAAAGTACTTTAGCATGAAGACGGCATAGTCCGGCCTGCGAGGCTGTGCCATCTCGGGGAGGCAAGAGTTACAGTTATGGGCCATTTCCCAACCCTGGCGGTTGTGCTGCTCATAGAAAAAGCAAGCCACCACTATGGTAGCCGGCACGGTGTAAAGTACGCTGAATATCCCAATCCGGATCATTAGTTTCTCCAGTTTGTCAGTTTTGGTGCCACCTTGCTTGATGACACTGCGGATCCTGAAAAGGGACACAAAGCCGGCTAGCAGGAACATGCTGCCGATGAAGAGGTAGATGACCAAGGGGGCCAGCACAAAGCCCCTCAGGTTGTCCAAGTTCTGGTTGCCCACATAGCAGATGCCAGCCACCGGGTCCCCGTCCACCGAGCTGAGGGCCAGCACGGCGATGGACTTGATGCTGGGTACCAACCAGGCGGCCAAGTGGAAGTACTGGGAGTAGCCGGCGATGGCCTCGTTGCCCCATTTCATGCCGGCCGCCAGGAACCAGGTGAGGGACAGGATGACCCACCAGATGGAGCTGGCCATGCCAAAGAAGTAGATGAGCAGGAAGACCAGGGTGCAGAGGGCCGGCCCGGTGGTCTCGTAGTGGATGTGCTCCAGGTCATGCTCCCGGCTACACGCTACCTTCTCGTGGCCGGCAATCAGTCTGACCAGGTAGCCAGCGGACACCAGCAGGTAACAGGCGGACAGGAAGATGATGGGCCTCTCAGGGTACTTGAACCTCTCCATGTCAATGAGGAAGGTGGAGACGGTAGCGAAGGTGGAGGCGAAGCAGAGTACAGACCACAGGCCGATCCAGAAGCTGGTGAAGGTCCTCTCCTCTGGGGTGAAGTAGGGATTGTGGCAGGGCATGGCACAGTTGGGGATCTGGCCGGTCCTCACCCTGTTGTAGAGTGGGTGCCTCTCATTGGACACCAGCACCATGGGTTCCCTGCACTGACAGCCAGGCTCGCACCCTGCAGGGACCCTGGGCTTGCTCCGCGGGGGCTCCGCGCGGGCTTTACTGTTGCTGCCGCCCTTGTGCGGGTGGCTGGGCGCCTTAGGCGGCCGTTGCTCGGGCAGGCTGGGCGCTGCAGTGGTCAGGTCGGTGCGGTTGTAGTCCATACACAGGGTGTCCGGGTTCCCCAGCTCCGGCAACCGGTCACAGCGCATCCGATCCGGCCAGGCGAAGCCGTATTGCCGCATGAGAGGGGCGCAGCCAGCCCGGGCCCGCTCACACACACTCCTCCGGCACGGAGGCAGCGGCTTCTTGTAGTCCTCCAGGCAGATCGGGGTGTACATGCTGCACAGGAAGAACTTCAGGTCGGCCGAGCAATGGATCTCCACCAGCGGCCAGAACTGGTGCACCTCCAGCCCGGCCTCGTCCTGCGTGTCGTGGTTGAACTGGTTGGGCATGTACGTGTAGTTGTAGCCGATCCCCTTACACAGGGGCACGGTGATCTCCTGGCACGTCAGGTCCTTGGCGGCAGCACCCAGCGCCCCCGAGAGCCAGCATGCAGCCAGCGAAAGAAGCAGCAGCAGGTACATCATCGCGCCCGGTCTCTCCGATCACCTCCCCTCCGCCATAAGTTCCAGCAAAAGTAACCCGAGTCCAACCGAACTTCTCACACACTTATAGATCCACGCTGACAGCTCCGGGCACCGAGCACACCGAACACCGCCCGCACCTGCACCGTCCACACCGCACTCCTTGTGCTGCTCTCTGCCGGGATACACGCCGACCTCATGAATATTTATACACGGCCGCCCGAGACCCGCCCCCCGGCCAATCCTATTAGCGCCCCTGGACGGAGGCGGGGCTCGGCTGCCTGAAACCAGCAACCCGGGATTATACCTAGGAGCTTGTGGAGGAGCCGACTATTGTCAGGAGCGAAGAGCGACACCGACACCTCCCTCCTCATCATCGTCCATTCATCACCCCCATCTATGTACACAGCACCCCCCATTCATCACACCTCATCACCGACACCATGTGTATTACACTCCATCATCGCAGCGTCATCCTCAGCGACTGCAAAACGTATACATAGATAGAAAACCTTTCTATTTATTATTAGCAGCATTATTATTATCATTATTTTTGGACAAGAAAAAAAGGCTTTTAAACTTTTTAACTTCTTCATGCAGATGAAGTATTCTTATTTCATGATGGACCGTCATATATATATATAATTTATTATTATTATTATTACCTTTTTTTTTTACTTTCTGATGCAAATTAACTATTATTATTTCTTGATGGACTGTTAACATATTCTATTATTATTCTATATATTATCTTTGTCACAGCTGTTCATCATTCCAGGTAATACAGGTAATATACAATAAGTATATACAAATCTATATGTGTATATAAAATATATGTATGTATATGTGTGTGTATATATGTGTATATAATATATGTATGTATATGTGTGTGTATATATGTGTATATAATATATGTATGTATATGTGTGTGTATATAAATAAATATATGTATGTATATGTGTGTGTATATATGTGTATATAATATATGTATGTATATGTGTGTGTATATATGTGTATATAAATATATGTATGTATATGTGTGTGTGTATATATGTGTATATAAATATATATATATATATATATATATATATATATATATATACTGCAGTGGCTACATGGTTAGCACTTCCGCCTGGTAGCACTAGGGTCATTGGTTTGAATCCCAACGATGGCACCACCTGCCTGGAGTTTGCATGTTCTCCCTGTGCCTACATGGGTTTCCTCCGGGCACTCCGGTTTCCTCCCACACTCCAAAGACATGCTGGTAGGTTAATTGGATCCTGTCTAAATTGGCCCTAGTATGTGTATGTATGAATGTGAGTTAGGGACCTTAGATTGTACACCCCTTGAGGGTTAGGGACTGCTGTGAATGTACAATATATATGTAAAGCGCTGCGTAAATTGATGGCGCTATATAAATACCTGAAATAAATAAATATACTGTGTATATGTGTGTGGTGTGTGTATATATATTTCATTTTAATTAATTAATTGATTAAGAATGCTGCTGTAAATATTCTGACATTACCAGGTATGACAAACAAATTTGACAAAGATATGAAAAGGTTGGCAATACATTATACATTCTTCTTGTTCAATTTCCTTTAGATTTACCGTCGACTTTGTAGAGCAAGGGCCTGCCTGATTGCAAACAAACTGAAATATGACCTCATATTATATGGTTTTAGTAAATCTAAAGGAAAGTTGTACAAGAAAATTGTATAATGTATGGTCAGCCTAAGCTTTTTGGTGTTAGTTATAGGAATCACTGGGCATTATGGAAACCGTGTAATCAGGCTGAAAACATGTATTTCATGATAAGCCAAAGACAGGGAATGATAGTTAAGGCTGACTACACACTAAACAATCTGATTGTAGAATTTCCTTTAGGTCTACCATCAGTTATGTAGTGTAAGAGCCTGTCTGCTAATAGCAATTGAACAGATTGCTTAGAGTTGTCCCCCGTTACATAGTTTTGGTAAATCTAAAGGAGATTATACAGAGATTGTACAATCAGATTGTATGGTCATCTTTAGTCCCAATGCACAATCAAGTTGCGCTGCTGGCAGATTGTAAAACTGCATGAGAGGCTGACAGTTTCTGTGGCCGGATGAGGTTGGGCGGTGCACTGCCCCTTTTAGGACAGTATGTGCCCCGGGACTAGAAGTCTGTGTTCTGGGCATTCGCCCCGGGGGCACATACTGCCGTAAATGTAAGTACATTTCAGTGCACCACCCGGCCCATTACAGCCACAGCAGCTCCCAGCCTCTCATGGGGTTTGACAGTCTGCCAGCGGTGGAGTTGGATGGGGCACCTGTGTGCATGGAGTCCTATAGTGCACAGACATCAACCAGCACAGGAGTGATATGTGACAGGGCACTAGAGTCAGTTCACTATCCAGCAGGGCTCTAATAATGTATCATAACTCATTTCATATCATTGAATCTCACAAATTGGTAGATGTAGAAAGCTGCCTGTCACTGTATGGGAGATGTAGAATGCTGCCTGTCACTGTATGGGAGATGTAGAATGCTGCTTGTCTCTATAGGGGAGATGTAGAATGCTGCCTGTCACTGTATGGGAGATGTAGAATGCTGCCTGTCACTGTATGGGAGATGTAGAATGCTGCTTGTCTCTGTAGGGGAGATGTAGAATGCTGCCTGTCACTGTATGGGAGATGTAGAATGCTGCCTGTCACTGTATGGGAGATGTAGAATGCTGCCTGTCTCTGTAGGGGAGATGTAGAATGCTGCCTGTCACTGTATGGGAGATGTAGAATGCTGCCTGTCTCTGTATGGGAGATGTAGAATGCTGCCTGTCTCTGTATGGGAGATGTAGAATGCTGCCTGTCACTGTATGGGAGATGTAGAATGCTGCCTGTCTCTGTAGGGGAGATGTAGAATGCCGCCTATCTCTGTATGGGAGATGTAGAATGCTGCCTATCTCTGTATGGGAGATGTAGAATGCTGCCTGTCTCTGTATGGGAGATGTAGAATGCTGCCTGTCACTGTATGGGAGATGTAGAATGCTGCCTGTCACTGTATGGGAGATGTAGAATGCTGCCTGTCACTGTATGGGAGATGCAAAATGCCGCCTGTCTCTGTATGGGAGATGCAGAATGCCGCCTGTCACTGTATGGGAGATGTAGAATGCTGCCTATCTCTGTGTGGGAGACGTAGAATGCTGCCTATCTCTGTATGGGAGATGTAGAATGCTGCCTGTCTCTGTATGGGAGATATAGAATGCTGCCTGTCACTGTATGGGAGATGTAGAATGCTGCCTATCTCTGTATGGGAGACGTAGAGTGCTGCCTGTCACTGTATGGGAGATGTAGAATGCTGCCTGTCTCTGTATGGGAGATGTAGAATGCTGCCTGTCACTGTATGGGAGATGTAGAATACTGCCTGTCACGATATGGGAGATGTAGAATGCTGCCTGTCTCTGTATGGGAGATGTAGAACATTGCTTGTCTCTGTACCTGAGTTTTGTTAAAGAATTAAAAAAATCTTCTCTGTTGTGTAGTAAAAAACAACGGAGAACCAGCCATAAAAATTCCAAATTGGTGAATACATTTTTGCCCGATATAGGCAGATTATTAAATGCTTCTTATAAAATGACTCTGTCGCTTCCCCCCATAAAAAGCACTGATTGCTCCTGCAGTGGAGGACGATGAAGACTTCCCTCTGTGGAAGGTACTCCGCTGTCTTCAGTTGGTACAGCCTCCGGCAAAGTCTTCAGCATTTGACACTTTCAGGAGTGTTGGATGCCTATGTTCCCATCTGTGCTCAATGGCTTCTCCTGCTAGGCTCCATGTACTGGTGGTGAGTGGAGGGACCCCAGTGTTCAGCGGGGGGCACAGGCATTCATTACTTCCGGAAGTGTCCAATGCAGAAGACTCTCTCACGGCCAGTACTTCTTGAATACAGCAGAGTTCGGACTCATACCCTGCAGGAGAGGAATGTATTCTCTGTTTCTATTGCAGGAACAATGCTTTCATTTTTTGGGGGAAATAACAAAGTTGTTTTAAGATGTAATTCATCTTTTCAGGAAAAATGTATTTATTTATTTCGGGTACTTATATAGCGCCATCAATTTACGCAGCGCTTTACATATATATTGTACATTCACATCAGTCCCTAACCCTCAAGGGGTGTACAATCTAAGGTCCCTAACTCACATTCATCCATACACATACTAGGGCCAATTTAGACAGGATCCAATTCAACTACCAGCATGTCTTTGGAGTGAGGGAGGAAACCGGAGCACCCGGAGGAAACCCACGCAGGCACAGGGAGAACATGCAAACTCCAGGCAAGAAGTGCCGTGGCTGGGATTTGAACCAGCGACCCGAGTACTGCCAGGGGAAGTGTTAACCATTTAAAAAATGAAAGTGAAAAATGAAGGTAAACTAACACCCTACACTCTCCCCACCCCCAGTCCCTGCTGCACTTACCCCCATGGGTGATACCATTTCACTATCCACACAGCCTGGCGCAGCGGTCCTGGGGTTTGAAAACCATGCTGTTCTTCCTCTTCTTGGCCTAGGGATGCCGGGAGGGATCAGAGCAGTTCATTTCAGTCAATTACAGGGATGTAATCATGCTGAACAATCAGAACTGATCTGATCCGTCCCGACATCCCTAGGCAAAGAAGAGGTAAAACAGCTCAGTTTTCAAACCCTAGGACCATTGCATCAGGACAGTGAAACTGTATCACCCACAGAGGTATGTAGTAAGGACCAAGGGGTGGGGAGGGTGTAGGGTATTAGTTCACCTTTTTATCTCTTTTGGAAAGGTGAACTATTCCTGTAGGCTCCATTCACGTTAGCGTGATTTCCAGCGCGACTTTTATGTGACCTTTGGTGCGACTTTACATTCTCTGGACCAAAATCGTATCCAAGGTCACACCAAAGTAGTGCAGGCACCTTTTCAAGATTTGAACAGGTGCTTTTGAAAAGACTGGCCTGCGACTTGATGTTCAAGCCGTGCATGCCTTGAGCC